TTGACAAAAAACGCGCCACTAACGCCGCAGCATAATACATTCAACAGAATGACAATAAAACGCAGTTTTGAGTGATGTGCACAATAGCAAGTTTTGTGATATAAAGAGGGCATCAAAATATTAGGAATCTTCTGTAAAAACAACAAAAACAACACCCAAAACCAACATCAGCTCCTACCCACGCTGCTCCTCAAGACGCAGAACCGGAAATAGAGACCTGCGTAAACAAGCAGCTGACTGTTCTGAAAGACAGGATAAAACACCTATCCGTCGATAAGAAATACGATTTTTTTTAGGGGAGGCGTTTAACCCAGGGGTGCGTTTTCCCCACAGTTACCCTAATCACACTTCCCGCTGTTATCATACTGGCACGGACATGCATGTTTCACTGTTTCGCCTGCAACTTGTATTAGGGTATTTAATCAGCCACGTGCCTCAGCTCAGGCGAATCACATGTAATTCATGCGGGTCACAAGTGTCTGTCATCACGAATGGTAATGCAGGACCAGCCGTCCACACTGCACGTAATTCCGGTATTACGTGGAACTATTGCGTGGAACAGACGTAATACCATAGCTGACATCACAGGCAGGACGTATGTGAGTCGTGAAAGGGTTCGGGAGCTGGATAAGGATATACCTATGTTTTACAACTACCTTTATGTATTTGGTGTGGGAAAACAATTACACAAGTGCATCTCGGAAACAACATTTTGGAGCATTTCGGAGCAATGCATTTTCGATTTCCCTAATGAATTCCCAAGGAGTCCTGAGTTCCCGACTAATTGTGAGCTTATGTAGTCTGGAACAGTAACGCAGTCACAGGCATTGTGCTTCTCTTGAGCCTGACCCCTGAAATTCCTGTCTTTTAACGTATGCTGGTTTTCCACAATCGCTTTGAAAACGATTCTATGCTCCCCTCGCTAATCATTCTTATCAACTCCCACTCTGACCGCCCGCGTCATAAAAGGTTCTGACCGGGAAGCGGTAAAGAGGTTTTTAAACATTCGCTTACAAATTATGTTGATGGTTTGAAATAACTGCTGACTTAACTCTCGCCGGACCTATTGGTTTTCTACATACGCGCCGGCCGAGGGGGGGGGGGGGGAGCGGGTACGACCCTCGCTCACCGTTTCGCCACTGGAAGAGCTAGCGCGTCGCGGAAAAAACGAGTGTGTGCGCCGTTACGAGACGCAGAGATTGATACCCGATTTTAAGGTCCTAGGTAAGCCGGTGACCTCTGAGGTCAGGTCAAGTGCCCCAAGGGACGGTTCCGTTTTTGGTGAATAACTTCGCAAAAAACAGCCGCAGAGCCGAGATTTTGGCAGCATCGTACTCGCCTCGCTCAGGCGCGTCGAATGATGTACTTTTTATTTGGGTGAGGTCAACTTAGGGTGTTCCGTGTTGACCTCAGGTCATGGTCAGGTCAGCACCCCCAGGTCACGAAATTGGACGAAGTAGGTCATGGCGCATATCATTCGATTCGGCAGGTCTTCCTGAGTCCATGGTGGCTTTCCCGACTCGCTAGCTCAATTTGATCGGGAGTTATTGACGAAAAACTAATATGACCCTAATGACGTCATAAATGACGTCACGCAAGGTCAACATTGCAAAAGTGACGCATCTAACCTTGCAAGGAGTGCACCAAAGCACGATTCTGTGTGCTTTAGATAGTTGGAGATCGTTCCCGGCGCCAGAATAGCAATTTTCATTTTCCCCATTGACTCATAATGGTGAGGTCGCGAAAATGACCTGACCTCATATGACCTTTCGGAAAAATCCGAGATATACAAGTTGTGAGACTCGTAATCGATATTAGATTCTGCAAGTTTCATTTCCCTGTGAAAGCTCCTCAGTCCTCTGGCAGTGAGGACGCTGCGAAGTTGCGACATCTGAAGACCGTGCAGAGGTTCACTTATGACGTCATAGGTCAGTGACCTGACTTGACCCGAAAATGCAGTCGGTGTCAAAAGATTTGTCTTGAATCAAAGGTCAGGTATGCCAAGTGTCAGCTCTTTATCGCCAGCGTGTTCGGAGCTATCGCGAAAAAAACCCATGGGAGTGCGGCACCCGCCCGCCCCCCTCGGCCGGGGAGGTTTAATTCAAAATGAGAATGTCATTTAAGTTAGATTTTGTCCAGGCACGAAAGCAAAGTGTCTTTTTCTCCTTTAGCTTTCCAACCGAACAATCCTAGTCATTTTCTCTTTTCCTCCATGAAATTCACGTCAATCTTCGTCCGACTGCCAACAAGAAATAAATCGCTCAATCGTTGGGCGGCCGCGCCCCGTTTTTCGTCGGAGCGCCCCAGTGCAGTGGCGGCGTTTTTCCCTGCGAGTGCGTCAATGCATTATCTCACGGGCCGGTGGGTGGATCCGTCAGTCGGTCTCCACGGCGGACATAAAACGCCGGGCCGAGTGGCGGCGGCGCCGCGCCGGCGCCTCGTCCCTCTGCGCCGTCCACGCGCCGCCTGTTTGATATGTCTGCCGGGTAGCCGCGCGCCGCCCGTATGTAAATCCGGCTGAGTTATATTTCATTTATTGGACACTAATAGGGCCGGTCGGACCGCGGAAGCCGCCAGTGTGGCGCCACACCGGCGCGCCGCCGCGAATCGGGATTAGTTGAGCAGCTGATCGGAGTGTCCACGCGGAGGGATGTCCTCCCACGGCGACCGGTCGTCCTCTCTCCGGACCGGAAGAGCGTCATAGAGGAGGAGCGGCGGCATTTCCTGTCGGACGGACAGTCGGACAGTCGTGCTGACGGTATCTTTGTTGGATCTCTGAGGTTTTCAGATGACGCGTAACACATTTGAGATGTAAGTGCGTGGGTGGTAGCCGGTAGGTACAGATAGCGCAGGCTGGAATGCCACACTGGACCCGCGCAATGTGCAATGTGCGATGCGCATGCATTACTCTTGCAGTGGATAAGCAAATGCTAGATGCTCTTGATAAAAATGAATTTGAGGGTCCAATACCTTGATCAGGAAGCTCAATTCAGGTGTGTAGTTCTTCACGCATTTTTCTGATCTAGTAGTTAAAAAGTAAAAACCAAAATCAAGAAGATGAAATGAAAAAGTAGGCAAACCATGATGAAATTGGTAGCAAAAAGCTATGCTTTGTTGGTGCTGGCCTCCAAAACCTTTCTCAATAAAGCAAACCAATCATGCTATCTTTCGCTGATAAAAGTGATAAAGCAGGTCACTCGTCGTTCGTGATGCCTGCTCATCGTGACGTGTTAATCCACACCACGGCTCTCGTCAGTGCGCTTGTTTCGTGCGGTGGAACCATCACACCTCTCTATATCCTATGGGCCCGGTCACTATCCTGTGCCCCCGCGGGCAGTGGATCATTCAGAGGGGGGGGGGCAGCTGGGTACCGCCAGGCCCCATCCACACACGCCCAATTAGGCCCGCCCCGACCTGGATGACGTCACCACTGGCGGCTGCCAGGCGCGTGGCTAATTAGAAGTCAGAATAATTTATCATAATGAGATACAAAACGAGACCCCGGGGAGAAGCGGCCAAGGACGCGTCCAGCGCAGAAAACCTGAGAGTCTACACCCGGGAGATTCGGCCCCTGTAATGCACCGACAGCACAGTGAGCTCCGCTTATGGAGTCGTAATAGAGTTACTTGACCGCGCGCTGAGCGGTGTGTGTGATGTGGGGCCGGCAGAGTGCCGTCATCAGGCAGCCCGCCGACCGCAGGCGCCGCGGGAGGCGCCGCCTGACCCTGCTGCCGCCCCTGCCGCCGCCGCGGGGGTCCATGATGCGGCCGGCCGCGGACGAGCTAATAAAGCCACCGGAATTACTGATCAGTTTCGCGCACGGCCGCCCAGACCCGAGTCGGGCCCGGCGAGTTTAAATAACATCGCGTGTCAGGTCTTGTCACGGGCTATATTTCAATGTGCCGGGAGTCGGATCGATGTGATGGGCCTGTTTTGGGGCCAGCCATCGAACGGACTTTCCATTGGCCGTGGGAGGGTGCTTGTAGTGGAGGGTCAGTCAAATTTGGATAGAATAGGACAATTATTCTGCGAACTTTGGCTGTCAACCACGCATTGTTGCACGATTGATTGTGCTAAAAGCATAAGGAGATTGGAAAAGGAAAGGGTAAAACGGCAATATTTTTTTTACGCCAAAACCGAGCGCTACTTATATTGATCGGAATGCATTGCATAGTGAAAATGAACAAAGGACAATATACCTTTTTAATCTTTGGCACCCTTTCGCTGCTGCACTTCTTTGACGTTCTTTATTTTGTCACTTAAGCTTGCTAGAAATGGCTGCAATATGCCCCTGAGACCACCATGTTCGCTCAGGGCCGTAACTCCACCGTAAGCTCCCGGCATTGTTTGAAATCAGCCTGTTAAATGGGCCGCTGTAAAATAATGCCTACTCAACGTGTGTCCTAAGTCACCGTTTAATTGCGGGTCACAAATCTGCAGTGTGGGATATGTTACTCTCATGCGTGCTGCCTCAGTGACTGCGCTCGGCGTGTCAGCGATGAACACATGTAATTGTCGACCTCTGACCCTTGGGAGTGTCGCTCTGGTGCGGCCCTTTTGATGACACCTCTTCAAAGGTGCCGCACCTCGCCCTGCTGGGAGAAGCTTCAGTAACTCACTACTGTGTGCCTATCTTACGAGCTGCCCGTCAGCCTACCTTTAAGTAGGTTTTTGTCCGTCTGAGTCACCTTTTTAGCCTGGGCTTTCTCAGTTGTCTCTGCAGAGGATTACTTCCTCGAACGACTTTATTTATCCCGGTGGATGCTACTCAAAGATTGAAGGCCGCAGAGATAACTGAATTCTTTCCCATATTCACCAGCTATTCATCACTAATGTGACCTTTCACGTGCTGTTCCTTCTTGCATTACAGTTCCATTGACGAGTTGATGAGCTTCAGACATGGATCTGCGTCTATGTCTGAATAGTTCTATCTATTTTGAGTCACGGAGATTCTCCCCGGACTCGGCTGAACCCCTGACCAGCCGCTCTTTCGTCGGCAGTGCCATCGCCCTCGGCCGACAGCTCCGACGCCACCGTATCCAGCAAACGAGAGCGAAAGACCGGTGACAGCAAGACGACCCGCGTGCGGACTGTGCTCAACGAAAAGCAGCTGCACACGCTGCGCACCTGCTACAACGCCAACCCGCGGCCGGACGCGCTCATGAAGGAACAGTTAGTGGAGATGACGGGGCTTAGCCCGCGAGTGGTGCGCGTCTGGTTCCAGAACAAGCGCTGCAAGGACAAGAAGCGGGAGATCTACCTGAAGCAGATGCAGGAACAGGGGAAGGTGAGTGGCCGGCTGGCTAGGCCTCGGTCTTTCCTCATTCCAGGGCCAGGGGTCATGACGATCTCAATAGTGATGGAAGTTTTGGAATTTCGATGGATTGTTTTTGGGGACTTGCCCAACTTTATCCTCACTTCACTTTATACCCAATGATGCTCAGGTATACGGCATCAAACGCGGTGGATATTGTGCAATGTGCAAGCATTGACTCTCGGTGCGGGTGGCTGACTGTGACGGCTGACCGCCCCTCTGCAATGGCGCGGTCCTCCTCCCCTCGCGCGGGGCCGCGTGCAGCGCCGCTCGGTTAGGGCTCTCCGGGGACGGGCGGGCGGCTGTGGGCCCAACTAAGTCCACCCTGGCGTGCAGACTGATTAGTGCAGTTGCGGCGGCTCCGACAGCGTCACTGCAACCCGGCACACCGCTCCGCCAGCCTGTCGATACTATCGGGCCGACAGTAGCATGTCCCTGTACAGCGGAGAACACAGGGACACCAACAGACACACAGGTGCACACAAACATACAGACAGAGGCTGAACTGAAACGGGCAGGCACGCGGTCAGTGGAACTCAGAAAAGGGAACGTTTTGTGCTGTTGAAAAAACATACACTAGATATTACAGTTATAGCATGCATGCTTGAACCTCCGGAACAGTCACAGGCCTTTACCAAACTCCTCACGTCGAAACCAGCAAGGCAGAACGAGATGAACAGATTTCGATGTCTGTCGTCGGTTCGTCGGAATCCTGTCGGTTGCGATATGGAATATGGGTACTAATAACGTTGATATTGACACCCTTGAAGTCGGTCATCTATAAACATTACATAGTTAATTCATATCCAAGCCCCAGCAAAAATAATTAAGAATATCGCCATAAGGTTTGAGCCTTGTCATCTCCAAAGGAGACAATCCGAACAGACCAAGGAGACAATGCGAACAGACCTAACAACACGTCATAGCAACGAACACCGGCACGAAGCCACGTGCTTCAAACGAGTACGTGCCACATTCCAGCGTTGTTACTGCGGTGGAGCGCTCGTTAAGCCGCTAACTGGCCAAATTACCACCGCTGTATCATCGGTGCCAAATTAAAACATGCATATTTGATGCTAAATCTCTAAAGCCATTCAGTGGCGGCAACGTTGCATGGTGTTTCATAGCGCCGGGTGTTCCCTTGCAAACAGAGAGAATTCGTGCGAGGTAGTGCTGTGGCAAAGGAAATTCAAGGCTAATTAGTTTCTTTCAAATTGTGCAATGCGTCGCTGGCCGAGCGCGGCCAGTTAGGTTTGTGCTTTTGGATCGTATTTGCTTTCTCTGTGTGTTTCTGACTTCATTGCGATGTCTGATTTCCTATTTTGTGTTTTGAATGACACAAGTGGCTGACAACTTTGATATTCATCTTTCGAAGCTCTCATGCACATGCGCATTGGGCCCTCATGCGCCATCTCATCATATTCGCTCATGATTGCTCATTCACACCTGGGTACACTGATAACTTGTTTTATAAATCCTGAAGTGTTAGTGCGTTAGGAGAGAGTACGAGGCACACAAACTTTTTTGTCACACACCGGCGAGTAAAATCGATTCATGTAGCCTCGCAAAGAGAATAAACGCTGTTGTTTTACTTTACCAACAGAATTTACCCTAGCGAAGAGGATAAACGCTGCTGTTTTACTCTACAATGAGTAACAACAGAGTTAACCCTCGCTTAGAGAATAGGGAAGATTGAAATAGTTTTCATTGTGCTGATAAACATCGCAAATAAAGCAGGTTTTGACAGAAGTAAATAAAAACGTATATAACTCTCCTTAACGATGCTGTTGTTAACGTTGCAGTACATCACTTTTGTTCTTAGGCACTCGAAAAACAATAGTCAGCTGTGGTAAATAATAGCAGTATGAATTAAATTGAAATTGAAATAAGACTTTTCATAAATTATTCTTGGCATCTCAAGACCAAGTTCAACACAAGGAGTTGTTTACCAGCTTAAAGTGTTTCCTTCAATAAAATGCAATTTAACTTGCATTACGAGTTACGACTCACAATTTTCAGACACTTGGGACTGCTGAAATAATGGGCCCTGGTGTGAGTTATTTACTAGCATTACATGTGCAACGAATGTGGTGCCAAATATTGCCAGTGCATCAATTATTCAATATCTTCAAGCGATTGATATCTTCAAATCATTGCTAATAGAAACAAAAGGAATGAAAGATGTATCTTACCTTGATAAACGCTGGAACATCAGCTTGAATCCGCGAAATACAAGGTGTGAAGACGAATGATTGTGACACTGACCGTGACTGTGACGCAGTCTGACAAAGCCAATGTCTTTGACCGTGACGCAGGGCAATACTGTAGCCGTGACAGTCACAGTGGCTCAATGATTTTGGCATGGTTATTGGTTAGGTATTACTTTTTAGTTACTCAGATAAAGCAGTGGTCTAGCTGCGACTGCGTGCGACTGTGTCAGTGACTGAATCTTTGTCTAAGTCGGTGCCTGTGACGGATTCTTTGAGAGTCTGGAAATGCATACACTGACTGCGCTTTTGACTGCAGTGGTGACTTACTGAATCCGTGCTTTTGACTGAGTCTGGTGCGGTGACTGAGGCTGGGTCTGTGCCTGTGACTGAGTCTGCCCTTTTGACTGCGACTGCAGTGCGGTGACAGGTCAACAGTTGGTTTATTTGGCCGTGCCGTGGCGTTAATTGATGTGTGGCCCGGGTGAGGCCATTGTTTGGGCCTCGCTGGCCGGCCGTTTGTTGTTTCGGTGGTATTTTGACAACATCTGGGGGTCCTGTCGGTCCTCAACATCGCGCGCTGCCGCGGACGGGACAGGAGGAATGGCCGCGGGGCGTGCTGGAACATCAGGAGCCATACTGGCCGGGGGTGTTGGCCAATCGGTGGGTGAGGCTGTTACGTGATTGTTATTGAGCTGTTAACAGAGATGCAATATGTCATCACCACTGCCATCAATGTCCGTTGTTGCAGACTAGTGTGCCTCGCAAAGCATGTTGGTGATGAAGTGGTGCATTCGAGTTATGTAAAGAAAGCGGTACAGTTTATGAATTAGCCGTCGTATGACAACGCTACATTGAATGACTTTAACCCTCGCCCGTATAGGGGGGGGGAGGTCGAACGGACCCCCCCATGGTTTTCGCGAATAACTCGCGTAAAAAGCGGCCGATCGCGACAAAACTTTCAGTACCCTCGCGTTCATCAATTTCACACCTACCCTGAAAATTTCATGACCCTGACCCAAATGACCTTTGACCTGTGACCTACTTTTCGAGACCATGTTTGGCTGGAATCGCGATTCGGTGTATGTCGGCTCGCATTAGCCGCGCGTTTGCAGTCTTTTCGTGGTTTCAAGCGTTCAAACATGTGATATGATGTTGCCCCCATGCATTATGGTGGGTGTCAAGGTCACCTGAAGGTCAGGTCAGGTCATTGACCTTTGATGACCTTGGTTCACTTTTTCGAGTTTTACATGTTTCTAGGCCAGTTTTTGGAGCTGAATTCGAATTTAGCAACCATATGAACATTTACGAAGTAGTTTTGGTGCCTTCGTAACATGTTACGAAGCTGTCAGAGGCGGTTGCCACCTACTACGAATACGCTTACTGGTTGACCTGACCTGACCTGACCCGACCTGGCCTAAATACAAAAAGACATCATCTGTGATCAAAACTAACATGATATTCGTGATCAGCACCCGAAAAACCCCCATAGCAGCCACACTTTACGACGTTGTAACAGGTCCCGATTTTCCCGCCTTTGGGGTCATTGACCTGACCTGCAAGGTCAACCAATGACCTAGGACCTTAAAATTGGGTATCATCGGCTTCCTCTCGTCACGGGCAACACGCTCGTTTTTTCCGCGAAGCTCTAGCTCGATCAGGGGCGAAACGGCAAGGGGGGGGGGGTCCAACGGACCCCCCCCCCCCCCTTATACGTTCGCGGCTGGAAAAACACCAATACGGGCGAGGGTTAAACTATATCCTGCCAACAAAGAATATCATTTTACCTACAAGAGTGCTAGGAGAATAGGTATCATCGTTGCATGTAGGGCTACATCGTTCATATCGGAAGGGTGAGAAAAATCAATGGCTTCAGTATTTATCGTTTTCCGAAATGTTCTGAAGTAGTCACAGTCCCATAGATAAAGTTTATGTGTACCTATCTGCACCAATTTTATTATTGGTGTAAATTCATCAATGTTTTCAATCCTGAGCAAACTAATAAAATTACCTGCTCTCAGCAAAACCGCAATATTCAGGGTCAATATTCAAATGGTAAAATTATCTTATTTCACAACCCGACATACAAAATTGTATCAAAAGAAATAAAAATGGCGCCCTGAGGGCTTGCCGTGTAAGGCCCTGCACAAAGCCCTGCGACCCGCAGCAGGTGGTGGTACTGTTTCCAATAGTCACGCTTTGCTGCATTTGCGCGGCTCTATTACATCCCCCTCCCATGAAATACGGACTCAATATTTGCACTCGCCCGTTTCACAGGAAATTAGAAACAACTTTGCTCATCGAGAAGTGGCGACCGGCCGCAATTATCGGCTGTAGCACTGTGCACCTGTGTGCCGAGCTTTAAACGGCTCATTTTCCACCGGCCCGCTTGTTGGATCAGAAACATAACTGGGCAGTAAATAGACGTTGCACGGCGCGACATTAAAAATGCATGCGTTAAGTGGCGCGGGCAGACGCCGGGGCCCTGGTTGGCAGACAATGTATGTCGTTCGGATGGTGGGCGGCGGGCGGCGGACGGCTTTGGGGCACACCAGGGGCCCTGCAAGGCACGTGGCGTGCCCATTGGTCGCACCATAGCCGCCGCCAAGCCATTCTCCCATCGAGCCCGGAACAGGCAATCGACACCAACCAATTTGGAGCGCCGCTGTTATATCCGGTCCATATTTTGCAACAAACTGCCGTCAATTGGTGGCGGTGCACTCGGAAGTTTCGACCGCTGCGACTCGTGTCCGGAATGGCCCCGTG